CACCTGGCCCAGGCAGAGGAGGGGAAGAGAGTTCGATAGATGCAACGCAAGTCTACCACCTCTTAAAACTAAGCCGTGCGTAATTAACCGTATTGGCCTCAGCCTGCTGAAGAAAAACCGAAGGTCGAACCGTCATGTATGCCTGTTATTACATCGAGGTCATACGCGAAAATTGACACTAATTAATTGAAATTTGATGTTAGCCCTTTTTATCTGAGATTTCTCCACCATTTGCCTTTATTTTAGTTTTGGCGGAGTTCTGCCTCCAATCGCGTCACAACTACACGCGGGTCATATACATGGAGTTGTAGATACAGCTTTGCAAAAGTCGGGCCTATCATGGAATGTAAGGAAGCCGTGTTCTATAACCTGCCAATTCATAGCACTTGAGCGCAGTTGCCGTTACTGTGAAACCCGGCATGCCCTTTTCTCTCAAGGTTGGCGTCCAGTTTGCGAAAAAACTAGCTAGGACACATGGGTAATGCCAATTTTGTGCAGCATATTGTTATAGCCTTCCGGTCATTCCTATACACCACATGGAAGCCCACGCACTTACAGCCATGCTAACGGATGAAAGGTAAACTACTGCTTAGAGTCATTATTACCTTTTTTTCAAAGCTTACATTTTCCGTTTCTTGTTCTTTTAGTCAGTGGTGGCCATTCATTGCTAGCCCTGGTTAGAGGTTTGGAAGATTTTCTCCTCTTGGGTACTTCGCGGGATATCTCGCCTGGTGAATGCTTGGACAAGGTAACGAATATGATCCCAAAGAGGTCTTCGAACATGTTGACGGTTTTCTCATCTGTGACCACAAACTACGGCAGAATTAGCAGAAAAACATGCTGGTCGACAGGTAGATTGTTCGCCAGAAGTCGAGGTATCTTAGAAGTATTCTAGTCAAAGCTTGCGCGACGCATCAATAATTTTGTTTTTCCTACTTGTTCCTCAGACTAAATACCGTGAAAATTCAGGTCTGTGTCTTGACCTGACCATTATCGTATTTGCGACAAGGCTAGCTCAAAATTCGCCTTTCTTGAAAATGTTATCTTTAAGTTGGGTATTTATCAAATGCTGAGATGTTATACGAGATCCCATCAACCGTTTCTTCATCTAAAAAGTTATACTTGGTATTCTAGCCATCCTTAAAGGCAGGCGCAGCATCGGTGTTTTTTTTACTCACGGTTTCTTCGTTGTCCGTTTAACTGCTGTCAACGTGGCGAGGTACAGACTAGGCATCTGCAAAAGATAATCTCAATATTCGCGCAGCAGTTTTACTTTCGCATGTGAATACGAAGCGTCTTGAAATATCAACGTTGTATGATGGGCTGTCATACTGAGGAACGTCACCAATGGCCTACTTTAGTGTGATCCATTTTGAACCTGTTGGGCGCCGAGGGCAGGAGACAATAAGTCCCAAATGCCTCTCCGGGTATTAATATCTAGGATTTCCAGTAGAACGGGAGAAACCGTGCCACAACGGCATGGACTGGTACTTCTGACGCTCTTGTGCTTTTGTGCTATAGTAGGGCGATTTTTTTAAAGTATTAGAATCGTATATTGACCTAACGACCGAAAAACCTAAATGAAGACCGGTGACTTTCCGCGAATTCGCTTATAAAAAGAGATTGAAAATTCCCCATCAATGGGGATTTATAATCAGAAGAAGACATCTTGCTGCACAAACATCCGCATGCAAACTACCGTAAGACATAACTTAGTAGTAGTTTCCTCATAAGAATCCACACGGAAATTCTTTAGGTTACTTGTTTGAAGTCATACTTTGCCAGAGTGTTTCACGTGTAGCGACGTAAAAAGCATGTGTCAGAGGCCTCTTTCCAAATGATTCACTGTGCCAAACCTTATCCGCACCAGCTTCGTACGCCAGGCCACTGGTGCCGTGCAGATGATACAGAGTCCGGTCCTGAGGAATATGTCCTGTTGGTAAACCAGCGTTTTTCCACCGCAATGCGTCTGACGCACTCATCAAGAAGTGCTCCCAGCTGTGGCTTAAATAGCCGTCCTGTAACTCAGTGTTACTCAGAGTTAAGGATAGAATTGCTGGTCCCCTTAACGGCACGCGTGTTAAATGCGCTGAACCAA